ATGGTTCATAAATTAATGCTAACAAAATTATTTTAAAACTGTTAATTCTGTGGTTAATGATAAAATTTTCAAAATGTCTGAATTTTGAAACCAAATTATAATTTGGATTGGAAATCCAATGAAATAAATTTTATGCTACATTGTAATCAGAGAAAAACATGACGATAGTATTTGCTGCTAATTAAATGCGAAATATTAGGCGATATTTTTTTAATTTGTTACAAAATTAAAATAGAAACTGAAGCGATATTATTAATTTTTTTTTTTAATTAACGCATGTAAAATCCATAATATGGTAATGAAAACATAGTTCATGGCAAAAAAATGTTGATTGTTTATTTTATATTTAAAATGTGAGGATTATTTATAAACTAAATGTTAAAATTCAGAAAATAATTTTTGATATACTTTAGATCTAATATTGAAAACCATTTCACTTGAAAACACAAAACGTAAGTTATAGAGAAATTGTTGGCTTACTTTATTAGTATTTGAATCATAAGCATATCTTTCCATTTTGTATCATTTTAAAAATATATATTTATTCATGAATACAGCAGAATTAAAACTATTGTTTCTTTTTTAGCAAAAAATGAAATTAATCGTTTATGTTAGAAAAGAAGTTCTATTAGATATGTAATATCATAACTGATAACTTTTAAAAATATATCAAATTCCATTATCAACTAAATAAAAAAAAATACAATCATTCCGAAAAATTACTGCTATGTAAGTAATCTTTTGAATCTAAAAAAATTCAAATTAGTTTTGTTTTTATAAAATAAATGACTGTCATTTCAAAACTCGCTCAAATTTCAGAATGAAAAAAAATGAAGGTAAAAATACTTTAAATTTTTAAATATTACAGTTATTTAAATTCATCAATATAACTTAATATTAAAAGATATATTATTGCAAATTTAAATATGCATATAAAGAATTGAAGTGTTTTTTAGTTTTTGTGGATTTGGATTAAAAGACAGGATATATCTATTTATCTAAGTCTCATACATTTAGATAAAAATCCTGCAATCTTTTTAATCATATTTTTTAGTGTTTTATATAATTTTTAATATTAGTTTATTATTTTGATGTCAATGTCAAAGTAAATCAAATTCTTATCTGTACTAGCATTATAGAAACTAAATCTTATATGCACTATATTTCGAAAAAACAAACTTTTGTTCACAAAACAACTATAATTGAGATAAATCACAGTGAAAAATTTACAACTTAGACAATTCACTAATGATATAATCTCAAATCTAGCTTCAATTCACAAAAATTATGAAACATTGAACATCATTCTGATGAATTTATCTTATAGCATGCTTTATTAATTTGGTTAAATTTTATAAACAGTTTAAAAAATATAAATAATGTTAATTAGAGTTGAAAACTAATAAGTTAGAAACAATTTATTATGCAAAATTAGAAAAAGTTGGGAAAAGAATTAGTTTTTTTGGCAATAGTCCTATCTTACTTTCATTTCAACAAAAGAAACTTCTTTAATAATTTATATAATTAAAATTGATTGCTGTGTTGTTTTGCCACTATTTATTTTGGACACACAAATCAGGTATTTAATATGAGGCATTATTTAATTGAATAGAACTAATAATTTTTCATGAAACTTAACTGCGGCAAAAAAAAAAAAAAAAAAAAAAAAAAAAACACCACAGATATATTTTGTTGTTATCACAATTCGTAATAATTTCTGTTCACATTGTCACTAAAATTTTTTAAAATCAACAAAGCAATTTTAAATAAAAATCATTTATTGAAATTAAGTATTGAAATACAATGCTGAGTATATTAGTTTTAGAAAAAAATTGACTAATAATGAGTGACAATAAAATCACTGATATTACAGTGAGAGACAGTTTAACAGTTAAATACCGAAATTTACTGTTTAATTATTAAAAAATATTGAAATTTATTGTTTAATAAATATTGAAATTCATCGTTTAATTAATATTGAAATTTAGTGTTTAATAAATATTGAAATTCATTGTTTAATTAATATTAAAATTAAATATTGAAATGCAATGTTAAATATATTAGTTTTAGAAAAATAATCAGTGATGATAAAATCACTGATATTACAGTGTGGTGATTTACAATTAAATATTGAAATATTGAAATTTATTATTTAATAAATATTGGAATATTGAAATTTATTGTTTAATAAATAGTGAAATTCGAAATTGTTTAATTAATTGTGAAATTTGAGAAAAATTGTTTAATTAATATTGAAATTTATTGAAATAAAATATTGAAACACAATGTTAGGTATATTAGTTTTAGAATGAAGGACTAATAATCAGTAATGATAAAATCACTGATATTACAGTGAGGTGATTCACAATCATATATTGAAATAAAATATTGAAATGTTGAAATTCATTGTTTAATTAATATTGAAATGTATTGAAATAAAATATTGAAATGTTAAAATTCATTGTTTAATTAATATTGAAATGTATTGAAATTAAATATTGAAATACAATGTTAAGTATATTAGTTTTAGAATGAATGGCTAATAATCAGTGAGGATAAAGTCAGTGATATTAATTACATTGAGGAGATTTACTATTAAATATTGAAATAAAATATTCAAATGTTGGAATTTATTGAAATTAAATATTTAAATACAATATTAAGTATATTAGTTTTAGAAAAATGGCTAACAATCAGTGATGATAAAAATCACTGATAGTGAGGTGATTTGCAATCCATCTCTAATGTTTACTAAATATGCAAATTGATTAAGAAATGATTGATTAAGATTGATAAATATCTTGAAATACAGTTTCGTTTATTACATTAATTAAATACAGGACTTTTACACAAAAATGTTTTAAAAACGCAACATTATCCCACCTGATCATTGGCTTGTGGTTGGTCAGCAAGCGTCAGGTACACCCAATTGAGCAGCTGAGTCGGTTGGTACACAGACGGATCAATGGAAGCGAGCGAAGTCATGCTTAATTCCTGCTGTGCAACATGGACATCAACACTCTTCCACACAACAGCTCTGCCTCATGCCAGCCCAGATGGAAACTGAGAGCTCATCCAATAGCATCGCGGAGCTGGCGCGCGATATAAATACTTCACTCGTCAACAACTTCTGGAGGACTTGCTGCCTGGTCCTTTTTTTTTTTTCTATTTTTGCTTTTTCACTACTACAGTCATTCCACGCGAAAGCTTGTGGAGTTTTTTATTGAAGGGTTTTCACCCTGAGCCTCTTCTCTTTGTTCTAATCTTTTTACAAATCAAAAAGACCTTTTTTTGCAGAATTGCCGGGATGCGGAACTATTTTGGATCCGTATATAACCCAATGGTGTCTTGCTCGAGAGATGCACTTGAAAAAAATGCGGAGATCTCAACAACAGAGGTCGTTTGTGTTGTTGGTTTGCGAGTTTGTAGTTCAGATTTGTTTTTCGAAAAATGTAGGTGTTTCGTATAAAATAAAAGCTAACTGAAATTATTATTTATCTCTTCTAAATTTATAAAATTTGTATTATTTATCAATTGTTTATTATTTTATACTATGAAATTTTATTATTCATCATTTTACTTAATATAACATGATGAACATAAATTCAGCAACGGATGTTTTAAAGTTTATGAACGACAAAAAGGTACTTTTGTTAAGAGAATACTCACCTCAAAAGATGAATATCTTGAAACGGAAATGATATAATTTGTAATTTTTACCAATAGAAATCAAGAAAACTGGCTTTTTTTGGATATAATTTTGGCAATTTGAAATTGGCAATAAAACTAAAAATAAAACTTTTTTGCCACATTTTGTATATTTTAGCATAGAAAAAAACTGCATAAGATTACAAAACTAGTTATGTTGTTTCTTATCCCAACTGGTAGACAGCAACATCTAGACCAGGGGTGACCAACCCGCGGGCTACATGCAGCCCGCCTTGAATATTTTTCCGTCCCGTGAGATTTATCACACTATTACAAAATATATTTATTTTATAATGGCCAAAGTAGTGAAAACCAATGAATTAAAAATACATTATGTGTGCTTCCATATATTCAAAAATTAACTCTCGAAATTATGAGAAAAAATTAACTTTGATTTTAAAATAATATTCTTGCGAATATAGGACAGATATTGCCTGTTTTATTTATGAGTTCACAGAATAATTAAATTATATTCTGCGAACTTATGATGCCCTCGTATCTTGAAACATCTAATATAGCAGGTTATAATATGAATATAAAAATGTTTATAGGTCTAAATCTAATGTGGGAATACATAATTTTATATGTGGCCCGAGATTTATGATGCATTTCCAAAGTGGCCCCCAAGATCATTTGGGTTGGCCACCCCTGATCTAGACCAAATTTAAGAACCCGTGTGGTCTCATGAAAAGAAGGAAAGGGGAGTAGCTTTTGTTGGGATGAAGCACCCGTAGTTAGAAATCTGACTTGGCTCCGTGACATTGAAGGAAGCAATATCTTCTGGGAGGAATTTTAGGGGGAACTATCCCACATTTGCATCTCTCATCAGTTAGTTCGACTTACGGGGCAAGACGCTGAACATCACGAACGCCATCTAATCTCCTCGCTTTTTGAAAAAGTGTCTACAACAAAGCCGCCATCTAACTAAACTTCCGCCCTAATGCTCACCAGCTTCGCGCTTTGCGCCTGAACCACGAATCTGGCAAACTAATGATGTTGTTGTTGTTGTTGTTCTTATCCCACTTGGCTGGCCAAGCCCACGAGCCCATTCGTACTCATGATTGAAGGGGAAGGAAGCAGCTTCTGTTTGTGATGGAGCACCCGTAGGTAGAAGTCTGACTTTGGCTCCGTGACGCTCTTACAGTCATAGGAGACTGGGACCTGCAGCTTAAAAGTGGATTCCGAACCACTACAAACATTCATAGCACCGCCGGGACTCGAACCCGAAACCTGTGGTAACGAGCGCCAGAGCGCTAGACACTCGGCCATTCAGGTCCCAAATTTGTGAATGCCAACGGCACGCGGTGTTCCCAGGTGGCTACTGACCGCGCCCAATGATGCTTGACTTTCGGAGATCTAACGAGAACCGGTATATTCAATATGGTATGTTGGCATGCAAACTAATGATACATATATAATGAAAGAATTACTAATCCAAATATATATTATAAAGATCATGTTAATGTATCAAGAAATGGGGCTTTGAAATTTCATAATTGTATATTTTCAACAAGAATCTATAAATATTCTGATGTTTTAAAGCAAAAATCAGGAGAAATAGAAATTTGTAGTTTATAGGGTGAAATGAAAAGTTTGTCTATTCTAAATTTTAATAATAAACCCAAATTGCAGGAAAGACGTGTAGAAATAATTATATTTGTATATATTTCCATGTACAACGTTCAAATAAATGTTAGAGCCATTTTTTTTGGTTAATATAAGGAGTGTTCGATACCAAGTTCAATAATAGCATATTTACAGTCGTTTTCTTCACTTATCTTCGACATCAAGGTATATACAATAAAGCCAAAGCATATCAAAGTAAATAAAAGGTTGTTCAATTTGCCTTTGATTTTGAAAAATTTTATTAAAAAGTACTAAAATACGTAAGGAAAATAACAAGAAATTTCACAATGTACTTAACCTCGGTAAATATATAATTTTACAACAGATTTTTTTTTGGAAATGCTTTTAGATAATTTTGGTAATACAAATTTTTAAAGAAATCATTTTAAATTTCAACGTTAAATTTCGAATATTGTTTTTGAAAAATTGGGTTTTTTTTTTCAAATAGTAATATTAGCATTTAATGAATATCATTGAATAGTAATGTGAATAAAGTATTTGAATCAGATCTATATTTTGACAAAAATCTGCATCAAATTTTTAAATTTCATTAAGTAAAGTCTTTGAGAAAAATATCCGGTTTTTTTTTTTTTTTTTTCGTTATTAAAAAATAGGTATTTCTGTGGCTAATTAAACTTTCTGTGGCAACATCTTTTCAAACAAAAAAATGTTGTTAAAAATAGCGATTTTAGTTTCAAAATAGAGATTTGCAAGAACTCGGCTGAACCATTTTGCTTTTTCAGTACAAGTTCAATTCTTGTGATGGCCATCAATGAAAGTTTAATAAATCGTTTAAAGATAAGTACGTAATATAAAAAAAAAATTAAAAAACACATTTTTTAGAAGAGTTTAAATTAAATGAACAAATCTTGTAATACCTCCTATATTATGCATACTTTAATTAACATGACTGCATAAAATTTAATATCCTCATTCCATCTTTGCAGATAGAAATTTTAATAAATTTCAAAATCTTTTTCCTTTCAATTTTTGTATTTAATTTTGTTTGTCCTCATATCTCAGGGACTTGAATACAAAAATACAATATTTGAGTTTTTCACATTATCTGGGTTCTAGAATAAATTTTTTATTTAAATTATTGTTAGTTTTATTTCAAAACTATTTCTTTTTTTTTTTACACTTAACTAATCCTAGCGTTATAAATTTAAATGCGTTCATTTTGAAAACGTTATTATATCTTTCATTACATTTCAATAAGCCTTCATTTGCTTTGTAGTATATTAACACCGATTTAAGTTTAACAATATTTATTGCATTAGAAACCATTAAATCTATTCAATAAAAATAGATTATATATATATAAAGAATAGGTACACACAATAAATATCCTGCTATTTTTGTGAATATGCCTACCTTCGTGTTACAGCAAATTACAATGGTTATCATAATACAAAAATCCAGCCAAATAACGCTATCTTCACAGGGCACAATGTTACATAAATTAAACAGCAATTCTCATTTATTTACCTTTAATAGTGAGCAAAGGAAACGTACTGCAACGGTAAAAAAATTCAAAACTTCCTATAGGAAATTTTGCAACCTCGACCTGGCTACCAGTAACTTACACGTTTTTCTTCACTTGCAGCATTTTGCCACAAGGTAATATGAAAATCATTGTTGGAATGGATGAATTTCTATTTGGCAAAAATTCTATTCGAAATTTATGAGAAAACTTACTAAAAACTTAAAATATAAATGGTTATATAAAGGTATTATAATTCAATGCAAAAACTGTAAATCCAAAAACACATACACCATTCCCAAACTGTAAAGTGGTATCTCTGTTACAGACACAATGATGTAGTTTGGTGTAGTAGTAATTATCCCAATAACTAACTGGCCTTTTTGTTTAATGTCTTCTCGAATAAATATAAATTGTATAAAGTAAATGTACTTCGTTTTAAAAAATTAGATACTAAAAAGCCAACTCGCTCATTTTTAACAAGAGATTTGGAATTCCTATTCCACAATGAAATCTGCGCAGACGCACTTGCGTCCACAGACAAGACACCACGCATTATTCCATTACTTAACACAACGACTTTTTCGTCATCACTGAAGGCAAGTATGCGCTAGAATGAAGAAGCAAATTAAAATCTACCCATCATTAAAGTATATTTCAATTAGAAAATTTTTAATTACAATTATTTTTATTGCAATTAAAAGCCCTTCGAAAATAGCTTTCTCCTGCATTACGCTGCTCTGTGCGAATCTGTCCGACTTGGCCGATTGACAATTTTCCACACAATCGGTGGTTGAACAATCGATTGTTTGTGAATCGATGAATGAAATTTTGTTCCTATTCTTCCATTATATTTATAAATATTTACCACACCTATTCCAAATTGTAAAGGGGTATCTCAGCTCTAGACTCAGTGTTATTTGGTATAGTATATACCAAATTGTATATATTCAGTGTCAAATTTTTTCCGGTAATCAGTAACGCTGTGAATAAAAAGATAGCTTATAATATTACTGCTTATAGAAATAAATTTCATCTATTTAACTGAGAGAAATCTCACTTTTAGAATTCATGAAATGATCAGTGATTTAATTCATTATCTGCTTACTATTTGTATTTAAATACTGTTAGAAACTTAATAGCGAAGATGATCGCGATGATTTACAATATCACATCTATATATCAGTACACGTCTAAAGCAAATATATAATAACCTATCGCAGTTTTAATTTGACGAAAGTCAAAAACTGTAGAATGTCTTAAATCTCATTGAAAAATGTCAACTGATCCTGCTGTGCCTGAATATGGGTGTGATTAAATTTTCAACTGAAGGGTTCAAGAAATAACAGCGAGGGAAAAAGAGGGTCCCCTTCATCGAGAACTTTGTTTTTCACGTGAAAAAGATAAATGAGGGAAATTCCGAAGTTGGAAGGAAAGAAAAAAAAAAAGAAAATATCGTATAGAACATTGGAAACCATTCCGATGCAGTTGTTGAAAAGTTTCATGGGGGCAACGTCATGCCACCATTTGGACGAATGGTTTAAAGAATAAAATCAGTACCGAAAGTCTGAATTACTTTTAAATAAGGCACATATATTTTTCAAATTTTCTGCATTTTTCGTAGAATGTTTATTAGCAAGTTGTACCAATAAAATTTTTACCCTTTTCCCAAACATCCAGTACTTTTTTTACCACATGATAGATAATGGAACACTTGTATTTAATAAGATTTCATTTTCAATTAAGATATTTTGATATAAATTATAGATCTGAATGATTAATCGAAGTAATAATTTTTATGTACATTTTAAAATACATTTACAAGATAGTAGCAAAGTAGATATGGTGTCGAGAATTATTTCCATAATGCATTTTTCAGCAAATAGCGGATCACATAAATTTTATTTAAATTATAAGTTGTTGTTATGAATAGGAAAGTCAGAAATATTTCTGTAAATCATTTAATTATTATTATAAACTTCATTTTTGATTTAAATTGATTGAAAAACAATTTAAAATATTTGAATTGCAAAAAGAATACCTTCAGTATGTACATAAATATCCCGATAAAATAATGAAACAAACAACTAAGAAATGTCAAATTTTAATTTTTTTAAGATTTTTTCCTAATCATATAATAATTTTAAAAATATTTTAGATTCTAATTTCAAGTTAACCAAATGAATTAAAAATGAACAAATACAAAAAAAACTAAATTTCCTGGGTGGGAATTGAAAATGTTAATTGTATGACATTCTTTACATTTACAAAAGAATTTTATTTACAATTCATTCAACAAAAATTTTATGATTGTTATAAAAACTAAATTTAAAAAAAATGCTCTATTTCACAAATCGACAAAACTACGTAAATTTTATTTATCCTTTTTTTTTTTTAAATTTATTTTTAAGACATTGTAATTCATCTTACATTTAAATAGTTTTTCTAACTATAATTTGAAACTAAAAAATGTATTTTGTTTTTCAAGTATTTGCTTATTGTAAGTCATTAAAATATTTTTTTTAAACTTCATTTTTCAGACGAAATTAAAAGAATTCAAATATTTTTGCCTCAAATGTATAAGTTATTCAATTAAAACAACAATAATTAATAAAAGCATAATTATTTTATTTCTAAACTTTTGGTGTCATTAAAATTTTAGAATAGGATATAAAAAAAATACAAAAAAAAAAAAAAAATAATAAGGGAAAAGTTTAAAATACTATACATAATTTACATAAATAAAAGTTTTTATAAGTTTTTTTTATTAGATAAAAAATTATCACATTTAAATATATTATAAAAAATTTTTCATCAATAAAACTTTAATTCATATATTAAGTATTGTTAAAAAAATTTTATAACTATTTAAGGATTTTTTTATTTCTGTCCCCAATTTCTCCTTGAATTTGCACATCGCATTGCACTTCTACTTGTTTAATCGGAAATCTTATGACTTATTTTCTCTGAGCTCACATTAACAAGAGAAAATATTAATCTTTCCTTCCAACTTTTTTTTTATTAAACTTCAAATCGTAAGTACGACATTTTATTCAATTCATTTCTATTAACAATACCGTATACATATAATATCAAACTTCAATGCAACAGACGCTTCTTCCTTTGAAGAACATTTTTTTTTCAAAAACATTACTTATTTTTTACAAGGACCCTCAAAATTTAAAATATTTGGTCTTTTATTTTAAGTTCATAGTTATCAAAATAGAAAAACCACTTCCGCATAATCAAGTAAATTGATGGTATGATAGAACCAAGATATT